CCGATCATTCTAGGACAGCGCGCGCTGTCGGGGAACAACGGCCTCCCCGGCCGGCCGGACACACTAACACTCTGGTACAGCGGCTGCGGGACACTGCTAGTGGAGGAGCCCTTTCTGTCCCAGCCGGTGCGCATTCCAGGGCCGTGTACCACTCTACAGTGTACTGTACGTGGTCGCCGTGCGTAGTACGTGGCCAGCGCCTGATTACCGCACCGAAAGCATCCGCCACGTCGTCCTGGACCTCGTCCTGGACCTCGTCCGGCGCAATTAGAGAGAGGCCAGTAAGTGAGTCATGCAGCGGGGCGAGTCGTTTTCGTCGCTCTGTCTCTCTCGCACTGCTGGGGCGTCCCGTATAGGTGCGAGAGAGACAGAGCGACGGAAAGGACTCTCGGGCTCGGTGCGCGAGCTGTGGGACACCGGGAGGGACTCGCCGTGGTCGGCGTGCTCCGCGGTGCTCCGCCATCCGCGGCTCCGCGGTGCAGTAGAAGGCTTTCCGCGAAAACTTGTTGGAGTACACTGAGTCCGACTCAGTCTATGCCCCTGCCGGCCGGCCTATAGCCGGGTTCAATGGCTGAGCGCGGCCCCCGCTGCCGCCCGCAGCCCCCGCGGCCCCGCGGCCCCCGCACCCACCTAAGGCCTCGGCGCGCTGGGCCCGGCTGGGCCCCTCGGCAACACAGCGCAGTGCAGCGCCCTCCACACCCGTACGGCCGTACCCATGCGCCTGTACCTGCCTGCAGCCTGCACAGTGCCTGCACCTGTCGCACTCGGCCCTATCACAGGAAGCCCCAATGGATACGCAGTGCAGTACGCAGTGTGTACGCGCCGGACGAGTGACCGACAACAGTCTCGCAATTGCAGAAAACAGCGTTTTCTCGAGAATTTTTCTTTCCAGCGAGGTAAAGGTATTTGAACTGCATCGGCGGGCCGCGGCGGACCCGATGCCACACCTCGAGCTTCCCTTCCACCGGGCCGAGCCTAGCTCTCGCTAGGACCCTCTAAGGTCACTTTTAACGGCTGCCATGCGGCCGCACGCCGTTCTGTTCGTTCTGCACTCGTGATAAAGCTCGTTCCGACTCGCTTCGAACACGAACGAACGTGCCAACGTGCCCAGCAGCCTGATGCCGAGCACGGCTTCGTCGCTCTGTCTCTCTCGCACTCGTGGGGCGGCCCGTAAGGGTGCGAGAGAGACAGAGCGAATCAGTCAGCAGGCCCGCCGAGTGAAGCGTCGTGCCACGGGGAGCCCCCGACCGCACCAAGCCCCGCCGGACACGACGGGCTGGATGCTGGGCTCCATACGGCAGCAGCAGACTGATTCGGAGACTCCTTTTCGTCGCATCGTCTCTCTCGCACCTATAGAGGACGCCGCATGAGTGCGAGAGAGACAGAACGGTGCAAACGACTCTCGGAGTCAGTCTGCTGGACTGATCTGATTCCGCGACGGGACGCTCCACGAGTGCGAGAGAGACAGAGCGACGGGAGCGGTGCTCGGAAACCAGGCTGCCTGCTGCTTGCTGCTTGCTGCTTGCTGCCTGCTGCTTGCTGCCTGCTGCTTGCTGCCTGCTGCTTGCTGCCTGCTGCTTGCTGCTTGCTGCCTGCTGCTTGCTGCCTGCTGCTTGCTGCTTGCTGCCTGCTGCTTGCTGCCTGCTGCTTGCTGCCTGCTGCTTGCTGCCTGCTGCTTGCTGCCTGCTGCTTGCTGCCTGCTGCTTGCTGCCTGCTGCTTGCTGCCTGCTGCTTGCTGCCTGCTGCTGCTTGCTGCCTGCTGCTTGCTGCCTCCTGCTTTCTGCCTGCTCTTGCTGCCTGCTGCTTTGCTGGGGCCCAGACCACCTCGACGGCACGTCGCTACGCTACGCTACGCCGGGCTTGCCTCGCTTGCGCCTGTGCGCTGGCCATGGTGAGGCCGGTGAGGGGGGCCCGGGCGGCCCAAGACGGCCACGTTCGCCACCGGGGTACGCACGCCGGGCTCAGCCTCGCTTGCCGGGCTGGAGGTGAGGCACGGTGAGGCGTGGCGCGGCGTGGCGGCCAAGGAGGCGGCGTTGCGGCCACGGCGAGGCTCCGGCGACGTCGCGGGGGCGTCGGACAGCCTCCCCCGGGGCCGGGCCGCTCCGCCAGTGCCCTCCTCCCGCCCGTGCGGCCCACTTGGCGCCCCCCGCGAGCCTCTCGTCCAAACCCCTTTTAAAAAGGAGTGGGCCCCACTCGGATGGCGCTCGGCTCGGCTCGGGTGGCGCGCGGCGAAACCCCACCCCGCGGGCCGGGGCGTCCCCCAAGGGGCCCGGGCCCCGCCCCGCCGCACCACTGGGCGGGCCCCCCGCCAGCCGAGCCTCTCGTCCAAACCAAACTGATTTTCCGAGAGTGTCGTCGCTCGGCTCGGCTCGCACTCGGGGGGCGCAAACCCTACGGGGGTTGGCCGCGTTGGCGTCGCCAAGGGTCGGCCGGCCGACTTGACACCCTCCAGCACCACCTGGGGGCCGCCCGGCCACGCCCGCCTCGGAATGCGTCCAGCAGACTGATTCCGAGAGTCGTCTTCGTCGCTCCGTCTCTCTCGCACTCATGGGGCAGAGCGACGTAAACGACTATGGCGGGCGTGTGTCGCGGGCGGGGGCGGAGGCCGCGAGAGTTTCTGGTGAGATCAGTGCTGCGCTGCAACACCACTACACTGCCCAGCAAGCTCGCCGCGCATCGCGGCATCATCATCGCCCGTCGTGCGATCGGCCGCACCGCGACGTTCGCGGGGGAAGCGTGGAGGTACGACCAAAAGACACAAAAAGCATGACGGCGATCGGTTCGGTTCGGTTCTGGCTCGGCAGACCACGACGACGACGCGACGACGCCATGACGTATGCATACGCAGCGACGCCGGCAAGAACGGCACGAACTCGGACGTCGCGAAGCGCGAAGCGTGTGGGCCGAGCCTGCGCGCCGCGCGCCCTGGGGACGACGGCGACCTGCCTGGACCCAATCATGATCGCCACCAGTCCGCGGACGAAAACAGCGACGTGGAGAGCAAGACGCCCGCCTTCTGGTCCTCGACGTCGTTGACGTACGCGAACGGCGCAACGTCTCCCTTCCCCTTCCAGTGCAGGCACGCAGGCACCGATGGGCACCTCGCCCCGACCGATAGCTGATTGGGGGGACGTTGGGGGTTGCTTGATAATCCAATGGAAGACTCGGCGAGGATTTTGGACGGCGTGCGGGCCGTGGCGGGTAGGGCCCTGGCGGGCCGTGCGGGGTGGGGCCGCGGGGGCTGTGGGATGGGGGTGGCGGGGACAGGCAGTATCGACCCGCCTAACGAACGGGACGGAAGAGGAGAGAGAGAGAGGGAACGCGCCGAGGGTATGTGTGTGCGAAGGGGACAAAAAACGAAAAGGAGAAGAAGAGGAGAGGAGGAGGACCAAACAGGAAGAAGAGGACTGCTGCAGGCCCTGCCTTGCCCGGCCCGGCCCTACCCGCGTCCTGGAACCTTTCAAAGTCATTCAAAATTATTCCGACCGCGGAGACGACATCCTCCGCCTGATGTATCTGTGCGGAGGGTGGTGTCGTGGTGTGTGGTGTGTGTGTGTGTGTGTGTGTGTGTGTGTGTGTGTGTGTGTGTGTGCCTGTGTGCGTGCGGGGGCAGAGCCGGGCCGAGCCTCGGGGCGCGAGGCAGCGGCGACGCATAGATAACCTTGCAGCAATGTCGCGGAGAGAGAATTCAAGAGGCGAGAGGCAATCTGTCCTGGCGCCGTTCGGGCGGGCACGGCGCAAGGCACGGCGGCCCGGGCTCGGCGGGTCACAGCGCAGATAGTCCAATGGGGCATGCAGGATGCGTGAGGACGCGCGGCTTTATCGCCAGGCTTTACGATTAAGGTGACGGGGGTGCGCGAAGACGCCGCGCCAGGACGCCTTGCCAGGACGCCGCTCGCCTTGAGCGCCTTCAGCGGCGTGTTAGGCCAGCCAGCTGGAGCAGGGCCTGATTCGGAGAGGCGTTTTCGTCAGTCCCTCTCTCTCGCACCTACAAGGGACGTTCCATGAGTGCGAGAGAGACAGAGCGACGATAACGCCTCGCGAAATCAGTCTGCTGCTCCGGCCTACTGGGCCCATATGGGGCTCGGTCTCCGCGAGCCTTCGGCCCCTCGGCCCTCCGAGTGCCTTCCAAGCGCAAAGCTGCGGCAGGCTCGCGCTGAAAAGCAGCGGCATGTGCGCGCCATCGATGTGCCACCGATAGGTCGATTGGCGAGATAAGCAACGAGGAAGTGTTCACTTTCTTGGTTCGCAGTTGGCGGCTGCTTGTTGTTTGTCGCGGCGCTGAGGCCGATGCGTGGCGCGGCGGCGCGGCAGTGTGCCGTTCGTTTGAGCCGGCCCGGCCCGATTGGCGGCTACACGGCGACGGGGACTCTGCCTGACTCTGTCTGGCGTCAAAGACTCGGGGCAGCGCTCGAAGGGCCCAGGTCGCCCATGGCGAATGGCGGCCCGTCGCGGACGGGGCGCTTTTATATCGCCGCTGACTTGAACTTTCGGTCGGTCCGTCGGTCCATTGTTACTGCCGGCCCACGCCGGGCAGGCCGGCCCATAGATAAAGGAAGCGGCCGTCTCTAGGTGCCTTTTGCGCTCAAAATTTGCCGTTCGCAGCGACGACGACGACGACGACGCTCTTCTCGGGCCGGCGTGGGCTCGCAGCTCGCAGGGCCCTGGGCCGCTCTCTGGGCCCCAACCCAGCCCCGCGCGGCCCCGCCCCGCCCCGCGCCTCCCCTCCCCGCTGCCGCTGCCGCCGCGACCCCCGCCGCCACGTCGACGCTACCCCCGCAGCCGCCGACGCCACCGCCGCCGCGCAGCCACCACCGCGACGTTCTTCCATTGATGCCAGATCCTCGCGCAGCGCGGCACCGCGCCCGCGCGCCTCGCCCCTCGCCTGCGCCCCGCTGCCCCCACTTCCACCCCGCCGCGCCGCCGCGGTCCCCCTCGCACCCCCTCCCCCTCCCCTCCTCCCCTCCAGCCCAGCGCCACTTGGACTCGCCCGGAACCTGTTTGCGAGCCTACTGTATGAGCGATCCCGAGCCGAGCCAGCCCGAGCCGAGCTCTGGCCGAGCCGAACCGACCGAACCGAGCCGAGCGCTGGCTGGCTGGCTGTTCTAAACACGGCCCGTGCCGTTCGTTCCGTTTCTAGCGCTAGTTCAATGACTTTAACGAATTTAATTGAAACGGGATGCAAGTTTAATCGGCAAGTTTTCGCGCGTGTGTGCGGGGGTCGTGTCTGTCGTGTCGGCACGAGTACGGGTGCGGAGCTCTCGCGACGTGAAGCGAACAACATACCTTCTGACCGGACCGATGCGAAGTTCGTCCTGAGTGCCTGTGCCCTCGGACTAAAGTGGATGTTGTGTTAAAAGTGTGGCGTAGTGCACTTGCGGCCCTGTTCAAGTGTTCAAGGTAAATGTTGCTGCCGAAGCTGGGGAGAAAAATGAGCGTGGAATGTTGATACAGTGAAGTGGTTGTGGTGATGTGGAAGCAATGCAGTCAAGGTGCAACCAAGTTCCCCGAGTGTTTCAAGAGCAAGCTGCTTCGTGCATCGTGGCCCTGCCTGGCCCTACCCAGTACCCAACCTGAACAAGCAGGACGAATCGCAGTGTAAGCTGGCCAGCCCTGCAAGCCCCAGCAGCCCAGCCAAGCCTGTTCAGTGGGAATGTGAGGTTAGCGGTCCCGTCCCGACCGCCCAACCCAGCCAGCGCCTGAGGCAGGCAGAGCCGAGCCAGGCAGAGGCAAGCACAAGCAGGCCAGAGCGAGCCAGGCCAAGGCAGCCAAGGCAGCCCACAGCCTGCAGAGGCTGTAGAGGTTAGGGAGCCAGTAGCAGCCTCTTGGGCTGGGCAGGAAGCCTGCACAAGCTGCTCAACCTCACCGTTGTGCCCCTCTTTGTCCCAGGTACAGCCAGTACGCTGTGGGTGATGTGGGATTCTACGGTGAGATCTGGGCAGGTTTCCGCTGAGAGTGGGCCTTAGCGTCTGAGTTGTAACGTCTTGGCTGCGGACACTTTTGTTATAGACTAACCCAAGAGTGTGTGCTAAGAGCACCATGTTGTGTATGGGCTGCTGCTTGTGAAGTATCGTAGCAGATTTTCTTTGGTGGCTCTGATTGTTCAAGTTTACTATATAAGTGTGTATTTGCAGTTCACGAATAAGCGCTAGATGTGTTGGAATATGAGATTTATCTGCTCTGTATATGTTAATTGATGGCTGGTCATTTCCATGTAAATATTCTCTCTCTGGTCAGTGTTTAAATTGGCAAGTGGGTCATAATTGTAATAGTGTTCATGTTCATGATGCAAATGAACAACCACTAACTTTTCAATAGTAAATTTTCGTAATTGTAGACTTACATTTTAAGAATTAATATGTAGAGTTTAGCAGATGTTTAGATTAGCTTGGAATAAAGAGGTGGGCAGTTCCATTCATAAATATCTGCTTTAATTTACAGAGTAGGATTTTCTGTATTTTGTTTCTTGTTTACCTAAACAATATATCAGGTTATTTGGTTAGTTTCATTTATTATAACCATCTATCATTCTAAATGGAGAATTTTCCCCTGAATGGAGGTAGCAAAGCTACAAAATTCCAAAGCAGAATCCACCAGTCTTATACAAGTATTGTGAAAACATATTGGTGCTTCTAAGTCAACAATATGTTTCATTTAGTTGACAATTTCTTTACAACTACTTGGCTCATTCAAATTTGTACATTTTCTACCTTCTTGTTATTGCTCATTCCCATACCCAAGCCTCAACTGTGGTTTATAATAGTTGGTGGTAATGGTGAACTTAGCAGTAACAAGAAAAATGTGCAAAGTTGGTTCCCAAGTGACGTAAATGTTATATAGGTCTCTATATGACATTCTCTTTATGTTCTATAAAGCCTAACTGTGTTTTTCTCTTCTGTTTTGCAGCTTTCCTCCGAATGTGCCTCAAACTCCACCAGAGCATGTTTCAAGACATCACCGGCAGGATGGGCCTCAGCATGTTGTGCCTCAGCTAGCATCGCCACTACCATGGCACCTAGGTGCCATCTTCGCTCTCGCAAGAAGAAGAGATAAAGAAGACATGCAACTGTACAGAAGCTTTCATCAAAATGAAGTGCTTAAAAAGTGTTCATTGGCAGTGATTTAAAATCTTCCCAATATTTTTTATTTCTTTTTTTTTTGTGTTGGGAAGTTTGTGAGCGTTTTTTCTCCTTTTTTTTCCACCCTGTCGAGGTGAACATTTTTTTTGTTTTAATTTTGTTTTGCTCACGGTGATACATTGTGAAGTGTGAGTGCACCACCCGGCCCGCCTCCGCGGAGCATGGAAACGGTGCAACAGACCGTAGTGCACCTGGACCATGGTGGTATTATCCAGCAACCGTCCTCCATGGCTTATGCGCAACGCTCCCAGCTACACAGGTGAGTTGCATCCGATTTCTTTTTGACTTGGCGGTATCGAGTGCGGTGCGCGGGGATCGAACCCGGGGCCGCGGCGCGCGGGTCGCGGAATGCTTTTGAACCAAGTGCGCCTCCGGTTCGGCAGTCCGACATTTGAAATCCGTTCCTCGGTTTCGGTGGGACTGCTTGGCCGCGGACGGTCGCGTTCTGAATTCCGTCCGCGTGCAGTTGGTCTTGAAAATGTATAGCGAACTAGCGAACACACGGGCCGGGCCCCGACGGGGACTCGAACCCGGTGTCTTTCCCCTCTTTTGTGGTCTCTTTAGTGTCGTTTTGCTCGTACGAACATGCGGTTTGCACTCGGCGACAGCCGCCGCGGCTGGAGCAAGCCAGTATCGGCAATTTCTGAGAACGAAGAATTGGTTTCACTCCTAGAATGCAAACGCCCGAGAAATATCGAATAGTCCGCTGAAAATGAGAACGAGGCTCTCCGTGAGGAGTGGACGGCCAGCTCTGCTGGCGTGTTCGTCGCTCTGTCTCTCTCGCACCCACACGGGACGCCCCATGAGTGCGAGAGGGACAGAGCGACGAAAACGACTCTCGGAATCTGTCTGCCGTTCGAAATGCTGCTCGAAATGGCTACTAAATGGCGCCGTGCCGTGGTGCGGGCCGTGCAGGCCGTGCAGGCCGTGCGGGTGGTGTCGCCGAGTTGGCGGCCGAGCCACGCCGCCGTGCCAGTCCCGTTATTGTCCGCGCCGCCCAAATGGCGAAGGGGCTTTCGGAGCGCTCGCCGCGCTCGCGTCGTTACAATGCCGCGCCGCTCTGCGCGCTCTGCGCTCGCGGGTCGCGCTTACGTAGCGGCCACCCCGCCGTACCCGCCATTGTGGCCCCGTAAGCCCCCGGGACGCGGCGACGCGGCCGGGCAGGCCGAGCTGGCGACGCGACGGATTTCTCTGGGCCCGCTTTCCGCGACACTGCAGACTGATTCCGAGAGTCGTTTTCGTCGCTGTCTCGCACCTACAGGGGGCGCCCCGCGAGTGCGAGAGAGACAGAGCGGACGAAAACGACTAGGAATGAGACTGGTGTAGCACTGCGTGGCACTGCGCGGCACTGCGCGGCACGAGGGTTGTTCGCCAGGGATTCCGCCCCGTCACTAGATGCCCGAGGTGAGGCTCGCTGGCTGGCTGGCTTGCTTGAGCGCTGGGCTGGAGCCACGCTGGAAACAACATGGAACAGCGGCGGACCAAAGTCGCCTCAGGGTCACCTTTGGCGGAGCATGCCCTACCCGGCCGGCCGCGCCGCGCCACGCCCCGCCCCGCCCCGCCTCGGAACAAGCAAGGGGTCGACGTAACGAAGGGCCCAAATTCGTTACTGCAGCGTCGCCGCTCCGCCGCGCGCGCACACTGGTTGCCCGGCTGGCTGGCTGGCTGCGGCTTGCCCCCCTTGCCCGGCGCTGGAAAATTTCATTTGGGGGTTTTTATTTTTGGCGCGGGCGTGGCGCGTGGCGATGTCATTTCGCCATTGCGGGTGGACGTGGGCCAGAAGACCGGTGGAGGCGGCAAAAATTCTAGACGCGTTTGGAGCTCCAGAGTCGCTGAATGGGACGCGGATCAAACGCGCGTCCCCACCAATAGATTCCTCGTTCGGAGAGCAATCCATTGGTGGGGTCACACGTTCGGTTTGAGTCCCATTTAGCGACTCTGGAGCTCAAAACGCGTCTGGAGTCTTGGCCGCCTGCGCCGGCCTTCTGGCCCACTGTGGATGGCCGGGCTGGCGGCGCTCTTGTGGCGCTTGCTCTCGAAGTAAGTTAGGCGCCGCAGTAATTAAAGAGCCTAGCCGCTCTGATTTGGCGCTTTGTTTGTGCGGCGTCCAATGAGCGAAGCACAGCGAAGCGGCATTTCGTTTTTACAGCCCGGTCGACCATTTTCCCCGCTGCCGTTTTTTCCCCCTCTCCGGCAATCGATGGTTTTTGCTTTTACGTTCTGGACTTTTTTTTTAAGGCGTCCTGGATTTACAAGTAGGAAATGGCATTTTCCCGCGGCGCTGGCGGCGGCGCTCTCGTTCGCCGAACGCTGCCGTGGCGGGCGGGCAGAGGGAAAAATTTGGCGGCGTCCCCGAGAATTCTGGGCCGCGTCAAACGGCACGACTGCGTCGGCGTTAGTACACCCCGGAAAGAAGAGTGAAGTAAACAGGGCGGTTTTTGTTTAGTTTTCCCCGTTCGTCCGAGGTGCGTGCAGGGTGCGCGTGCGAGGGCGCTGCTGGCGGCGTTTCATCGATTGGGCCTCGTTGTGCTGCCACGTCGGCCACCTCGGCCACCTGCACACTTCCTGCTGCTGACTGTTTCCCTTTTTCTTTCCCCGACATTCCCGTCCGCCCCCGCCCTGTCGAACGCCGCGCCGCGCCGGCTCCCGATTGTTGTTGTTGTTGTTTCTGTTCAAACTCGCGGTGGAAACCGTGGAGGTGCCCGCGGCCCTGGCCGTGCTGGCCGCCGTTGCGGCATAGTTGGCGCGGCGCACTTTGTCCCGCAGGCCGATTCCGAGCAGTGCTCGCCGTCTCTGTCGTGTGGCGGTCTGCAGGGTGCGAGAGAGGCAGCGCCAGTGCGGCCGCGCTGGAGCCGCTGAAGCTGGCGAAAGGCCATTGCATTCTGCCCATCCATTTTGCGGCGCGTAGCGGCGTGGCGGCGGGGCCCTTGCGCCGCGTTTCGTCCAGGCCGCCACTCCACTGCTCGGCGTGCTCGGCGTCTTGGAGGTTGCGCAACGCACGCCGTCCTTCCTTTGGGCCTGGTCCGGCTCGGGCCACGGCCGCGCTCCACGCTCCACGCCGCCCCGCGTGGCCCCGCGCCGCCGGTACCGCTGGCGCCGTGGCCTGGCGGCCTGTCCGCCTGCACGCTTGATGACGCCTTGGTATTGACCTCGAAACGATTGAATGGAGTGGAATACGTAACGCTGCCTGATCAGCGCGCCTGGCTTGGCCTGGCTTGCTTTGGTTCGGTTTGAACGCGGCGGTGTGGCGCACAGTGGACCGGTGGAGGCGGCCAAAACTCTAGACGCGTGTTGAGCTCCAGAGTCGCTAAATTGGACTAGAACCGAGCGTGTGACCCCACCAATGGTTTCCTCGTTCGGAGAGCTATTCTGTGGTGTGGGTCACACGTTCGGTTCGACTCCCATGTGGCGACTCTGGAGCACAAAACGCGTCCGCGGTTTTGACCGCCTCCAAGGGCCCCCTGTGTTGCTCATCAACCTCGCTAAGTAACAGTGAGAGGCTCATGCTTGACAGAGCCGTTTGTTGAACGTCCAACCTTAAACCTTAAAACCCTCTGTGCGCGGGGCTCGCTGTTCGACGCCCAGCTCAGAGTCTCCGGTCGGCGGCGCGGCGGCGCTTGACCGGCCGGACGAACGCGGTTGTTGCCCGCGCGGCCATGTGTCAACCAGCACACTGGGAGTCGTCTCTGTCTCTCTCGCACCCACAGGGAACGCCCCATGAGTGCGGGAGAGACAGTGCGACGAAGACGACTCTGGGAGTGTCAACCAGGGGGACAGTTAGCGAGAGGCTGCGGGATGATTCCAAACAGTGCTTTCGTCGTTTCTGCGTCTCTCTCGCAGGGCGTCTCGCTGGTGTGCGAGAGAGAGAGAGAGACCAGCCCGCTGGCGCGGCCCGCGTGGGCGAGCAGGGGTTGGCGTCGACGGCCTCCCCAAGGCGCTGGGCAGCGCGGGGCTGGGGGTGGCCTACAACCAGCGCTGGCGCCGCACGGCCGCACGCCGCGCGGGCTTCGTTTTCTTCTCCGCGTGGTGGCGAAGGCGAAGGAGTGGGCGAAGGTGGAGGAGCGAAGCCCGGCGCTGGAACTGATTGGACCGGCCGGGAGAAAGAGAGACAGAACATCGCCGCGAGGTGCGGCGAGGCTTCGCGCTCCGGCGGCCGGGGTTTTTGAGCTGCCGGCGTGTCGAGAGGGGTTTCCTGAACCTTGGAAAAGACCGGCGTTTGTGGCTTGAGCGTCCTTGCCGCCGTCCTGGCCTGGCTGGCGGTTCCAGGGCGACTCTTGGCGGCGCGCTTCCGTCGGGATGACGAGTGGACGTCGCGGCGCGTCGCGGGGAGCAATGGGAAACTGCTGCAGCGCGAACTTGTGCGCCAAAGGCCGAAACTGTGGCGCGATTCGTGCGCTCGGGGGGATGCCGTCCCGCGAAAGAGGTGCGCCGTGCGCCGCGCCCCCTCAAGTTGGGCGTCAAGTTCGGCCGGCACGGCGCGGTGGCGCGTCGCTACCTCCCCTCCCCCCGCGTACTTGTTATTTAGGGAGAAACTTGGTTGCGCGCGGTATTTGGGTTCTCGAAAAGGGGCGGGCCCTGGCGTGGCGTCGCGGCGGGTGGGTGGGCAGTACGGAAGGCGAGTCGGGAAAAAGTTGCCCGCTTTCTGAGTTACTTCCTCCCCGTGCCGCGTGGCGGTGCCGCGGGGCACGGTGCGCGGCGCGGAGCACAAGATGGCGGCCGCGGCCAAGGTGCACCTGGACGCCGAACGCCGCGCGGTGCAGCCGAGGGGCTGAAAGGCGAGCTTGTCCTGGCGGCCCGCACTCCGCCCGCGGCGTGGCGTGGAAATAGCCCGCCGGGCAGGCTGGCTTTAGAGAGTCTCCGTCGCTCTGCCTCTCTCGCACTCATGGGTGTCCCGTGTAGGTGCGAGAGAGGCAGCGGCGAAAACGCCTCTCGGAATCGGGTTGCTGCTGGTGCTTGTGGTGGCCGGGTCGGGGTTTAGGTGCGTTGGTTGTCTGGCTGTGCCCCGTTCTACCGGCGACGGGCTCTGCTTGCCCTGCTCGGCGACAATGGTACTCCAACGGCCGGCTTTAGCAGCGCACGAGTGTCTGAATGGCGCCCGGCTGCGGCGCCAGGCCCAACTTGGCACTTTTTATTTCGTTTAATCTGTTCCCGGGTTGTCGTCGCCTCGCTACGCCCGCGTTGCCCGCGTAGTACAGTGTCGAGGAGCTCGGCGAGCACCGCCACCGCCGCGTGTTTGCCGAAGTGGGTGAAAGACTTGCAGCAGGAGGGGGTGTTGTGCGCAGGGCAGTGAAGGGCGTTGCGAGGGGAGGGGGAGGGGGGATTAATTGGCCATGGGTGTCACGTCCAGGGGCGCGGGGTTGCAGGGGGTGAGGGCGTGGAGGGGCCTACCGCGGTCTGGCCCGTCACGTAGCGCGCCAGAGACACGGCGGCAGCGCGTCCGTCTTTGTTCCGTCGGAAAGGTTTCCCGATTGAATACCGCCATCACGAGGGCGGACCAGTGGCACCGCAGACTGATTCCGAGAGTCGTTTTCGTCGCGCCGTCTCTCTCGCATTCACGGGGCGTGCCGCGTAGGTGTGAGAGAGACAGGGTGACAAAAACGACTCTCCGTCTGCAGTGCGGGCACCCCGAACGAACGGGGGCAACCCCGGACGAAAAGGCAAGTGCGTGTTGGTGGTGCAACCAGAGAGGACGGAACAGAGAGGTATAACTCCCATGCTAAGCCGCTCCGCCAATTTCGTCGGGCCCGGCGGACGGTCGCGCGACAGTAGCGCACCTGGCGGTGCGGTCGCGCGCTTTTTGGCTGGAGCTCGACACGGCCCGGTCGGCCCGGGCCGCGCCGTTCGTTTGAATGCGCGGTCGCGCCGCCTGGCGGCCGGGCGGCTGGCCCGGTACCCAGGTTTTTGGATTGAATTGTGGTTAATCCTGGCCAATTATTTTGGTTTTGGTATTTGAGATGCATAATGGGCTGCTTCGAGTGCCAATTGGTGTTGTTTTCGGATCACTATTGCTCTTTTCCACTGTTCTACAGCAATGAGAAAATAGCTTGTTGGCTTACTCCACGCCTTTTTTTTGGGGGGGGGGGAGGCTTGTGGAATGAAAATGAAATTTTCAAACTAAATGCATGTTTAATGAAAACAATTGTCACAGATACATCACAAATCAATAACCGATAATATTAAGTCAAAATTTTAAATTAAATACTACATGTAAATGAAAACATTTATCACAGATTACATCACAGATCAATAATTGAAAATCTTCAGTCACAAGTTAAACGGAAGGATCAGTTGGGAAGCCTGCCAAACACATCATCAATCTGAAAAGAAAGAAGAGACAGAAATTAGCAAAGAGACGATGGGGGAAAGGAAGAGCCAGTGAGAAAACTAAGTCGATAATGGAACGTACCACTTAGAGCAGATTGGTGGACGGAATAGAGTCAACAGCCTCCAGTAACACCTACATCCCCTTGGAGTAATGGAAGGTGAAGTCATCACCCCAAGCCTCAACAAGAGTCATCTGGAACAAAAGATACAAAAATATTAAGTACATTGTAAAGTTCTAAAAATACTTGTGACAGGAAGTTCATTGTGTGGCTAAAATTTAACCATTAATAGATGAATTCAATCCCTGAGTTGAAGGCCCCAGCTCATATTGGTCTTTGTGATATGGAGCTTTACGCAAACTTTTAATCGATTCTCCCAAATTCTCCCTGTGACAAATGAAAAGGTACCCAGTTTGCAGATTCTGGCATTTGAACTTTTACAGAGAAAGGAAAAAGATTAGGAAATATAAGCCCAGTAAGAGGTGTAAAAGCTACTTTACTACTCTTGGTTTAATTTTTATTCAAATTTGAGATATTTTTGCCACATTTTGTTCTTATGTGTTATTTTTTCAGGAAAACAAAGGAAGGTATATTAAAAAAGGGAAAGCACCATCTTTATCTAATACTAAAAGAGATATAAAGGCTACAATTTGAAGGCTGGGCACCATTTTCTGTGTTGTGAGGAGAATTTGGGGGGAATCGACCAAAAGTTAACGTAAACATCCATAACTCAGAAACTAAAATAGGTGGGGCCCCACTCTTTGTAAATGAGTTAATGCAATAGAAAGCAACTTTTACCCACAAATTGATATATCTGGGAAATGTATTTAAAAAGTGAAGTGATTACTTTTTTCACTTGAGCAAAACAAGAGACCAACAGGGCAAGGAGTGCAGGTTATGAGTATAGGCCACTCGGCCGCAAAGTCACTTGAGGCCGCTGCACACTTCGAAAAACTTACTATGATTATAGATAATGCATTGAGGAGGGACTATATAAGATAGAGAAAACTCCACGGAATTGAAAAACTCAAAACATATCACAAAATGTTAAGTACAAAATGGACGCCATCACTCGGCAAAGCCGGCTGCCAAGGCCTATTTCGGCAATCGCCGAATTTCATTACATAAACGAGTTAACGGGGGCGCCGAGGAATGGAGAGGGATTCGCAGTACAGCAGTTTCAAAAAGGGAAACTAAGGACTAAATTCCAAAGACTTAAAATACTTACCGCAGCAAAAATGAAGACAAGTCCAACGACGAACACAACACCAACGAACTTCAGACACGACACGAGCGCGCTACTGCTGCAACAAAGTGGCGGTCGGCTCGGAGCCGAAGCCTCTTCGGGAGGCCCCGAGCAGGGCTGGCTCAACGAATATCAAAATAATATTTCATACACCTTTATTTTTATTAAACGAACGTTCAATCTTTTATCCCTGTTTTGCCAAATGTGATAGCTATTAAGAGATTTTGAAAATGATTGCGAGTCGGGCAAAAGGCGCCAACAGAAATGAAGTTTTTTGTGTCGTAGGTTGGCTACCGTGTTAGGTCGCGCGCCCCGCGAGGTTCGGAAATTGGCGGAGCGGGCCCTATCCCAGTTATACCTCTCTGTTCCGTCCTCTCTGGGTGCAACCCCGCCCGTCTTGCTCGTCTTCGCGCAGGTGAGGCGATGACCCGCGCCCCTTTGAGAGCGAGGCACCTCTCCACCTCCACCGCAGCCCCCGCCCCGCCCCGCCAGTCAGGTGTTCCTTTGTCGTCTCCCTTTGACACCTCGGCCACCACGACCAGCAGCAGCAGCACCTCGCCGCCGTGCCGTCCGCCGTCGTCTCGGACTGGATTATCTGGTGTGTCGTAAGCCCCGCGGCCTCCGTGCCGTTCGCCCCGCCCGCCTGGAGGCCTAGAGGGCCGCGCCGTTTCTTTCCACCACTTTGTGCCGCTTTTGCTCGGCTTGTTAGTGCGTCGCCCTCCGCCTCCTCATCTTAGATGGACAATCTTGCGCGGCCGCGGTTGCGCCGACTCTAGATTTGGGTTGCTTGTTACTGTAGTTGGTCCGTTCGCCGCGACGAAGCATAAGACGCCATCAGACCGGTGGAAGCGGTCAACATTCTAGACGCGTTTTGAGCTCCAGAGTCGCTGAACATGACTCGAATCGAACGTGTGACCCCACCAGTGGATTCCTCGTTCGAAGAGCAATCCATTGGTGGGGTCACACGTTCGGTTCGAGTCCAGTTTAGCGCATCTAGAATGCATCTGGAATGTTGACCGCCTCCGCCCGTCTTCTGGCCCAGTGTGTCGTGCGGTTCGGCCGTGTGACTGTGACTACACTGTCACAGCAGTGCGAATGCACTGTGAGTGCTATTCGGCCGTGTGACTGACTACACTGTCACAGCAGTGCGAATGCACTGTGAGTGCGAATGCACTGTGAGTGCGAATGCACTGTGAGTGCGATTGCACTGTGAGTGCGATTCGGCCGTGTGACTGTAACTACACTGTCACAGCAGTGTGACTGCATGCACTGTGACTCGAGATTGAAATGCAGGAGGTCGTTACCGCTGTGAAATCCGGACGCCCTTTGCTGCTGCTGGGGCCTTTTTGTTCCTTCCCGCGCTCGCCATGCCGCAGCGGACGGACGGACGGATAGGCAGACGGACGGACGGACGATTGGGCTGCGGCGTTGCCACGTCTCGCCCGGCCGGCCGCAGCGCCAGCCAGCCAGCCAGCCAGCCAGCCGGGCGGGCAGCACTGCGCCTTGCCTGGAATGGTGGATGGTGGATGCGCCCGGCCTGCCTCCTGCTCTTGCTTCGCCTCCACTCGCCGCCGACCATTTTTCTCTGCCGCTCTCAAGGACGTGGGAGACGGCCGCCACCGCTGCTATTTCTGAGCGTGGCGGAGCCATGTGGAGCGTGGCGACGACGACCGCGGACGACGACGCCGTGCTCCGCGACGTTGACACCGCCGCGTCGACGGCCACCCCGCGCCGGCGGCGCCGCGCCACTGCGAGAGGCGTTTTCGTGGTCTGTCTCCCTCGCACCCACACGGAACGCCGCACGGGTGCGAGAGAGACAGCACGACGGAATGAGTGTGCTGATTGAACGGGGATGCGTCCGACGGGTCCAGCCTACTGCTACACTGCCTACACTGCATCCGGCTTGAACCGGTCGCCGTGCTATCCAGCGGCTAGCCAGGCCAGCCAGGCCAGCCAGCGGTCCAGACTCTGTCCGACTTTGTGCGGCCGACTCGGCCTGCTCGGCCCGGCGTGGCGTGGCGTGGCGTGGCGTGCCCCCCGAGCAGCCAGCCAGCCAGCCGTGCATCCCATGAAAGAGGGGCCTGACGGCCTGACCCCGCCGCCTGTACTTCGCATTGAACCCTTTGGCTTCCTATGGCGGTCGCGGGGATTCGAACACACTGATTGCGTCGGCTGGACGCACGTGTGTGCAATGCAATAGGCAATAGGCGAGGCGCTGTGTGGTGTGTGGCGTGGCCTGGCCTTGCGGGTCAGCTGTTTGCTTGGCGGCCATGTTTGTTCTCTCTGTCTCTCTCTTTGGCGGGGCTGGCGGGCCCCAAACTCCATGCGTCACGGTTCGTGTTTGCGCGGCGGGGCTCTCTGATTGGGACGCGTAATGAATTTCCACTCGGAGAGAGAGAGAGATACAGACGAATGCGCGAGTGCGTGGAGGGGTGAGGCTGGTCAGCGCTGGCGGAAGTCGCGGACGACGAGGAGATTGCAGATTTTATGATTCGCGTGGATGTTACCGGCTATAAAAGTCGAGTTGATCATGGTTTGTTTTCCGCGCGCTGCTGTGTCCAAGTCGCATGCCGGACGATTGATCCGGACTCTGGCATCCTCGCCTGGAGCCCCCATCCCGAGCCCCTATCGCCTGCAGCCCTCCAGGCGCCTCCAGGCCGAGCCCCGCGCTGCAGACTGACTCCGAGAGGCGTGTTCGTCGCTCTGTCTCTCTCGCACTCGTCGGGCGCCCCGCATTGGTGCGAGAGAGACAGCGAGGAGGAATCGAGCTATGCTGGGCGTGGCTGTGGCTGGGCCGTTGGCGACGCTGCGTCGGGGACCGTCCGTCGGGGACGCGGCTTCGAACCCCGTCCGCCGCTCCGCCGCTGAACGCCGAGCCCCCTACCCCGCTCGGGGCTGCCTTTGATGGCGCCCGTCTCGATGACCCGGCGGAGCGGACCCGGCGGGGCCAGCACCACCAGAAGACCGGCCTGGACGCCGCCTGCTGTCTGTAAAATTACTAGTGTGGCGTGCTTCGGACGTGGCGTGTGTGGCGGCCGAGCTGGCCAAGCCACAGGCCAGGAAGGTCCTGCTGCGCGCCCAGCCCGCACGGCGCACAGGATCCCCGTGTGGCCGATGCGGCCGTCGAGTGCCGTGTGTGGTTGTTATCGCGTGGGGGCGGCCGGCCGATAAGATAGGACCGCGAGGACCTGAATCGGGATTGGCCCGTGGCGCCGTGGCCGACTGAACTCGCCGATGACCGCCAGCGCGCCAGCACCGTGTGTGGGCCCCGCCGCCCCGCCACGGCCGCCCCGCCACGGCCCGGGGGTTCGACGACGTTCGACCCACTTTCGGCCTTTCGGCGCCGCTCGTTTTGGAATGCGCGGAAAACGGCTAAACAGCGCGCGGCAGCAGCATCGACGCACAGTGGGCCAGACGACCTGCGCCTTCGGCTGAAACTCAAGGCGATTTTTGAGCTCCAGAGTTGCTAAATGGGACGCGAACCGAGCGTGTGACCCCAGCAATGGATTCCTCGTTCGGAGAGCAATCCATTGGTGGGGTCACACTTTCGGTCCGAGTCCCATTTGGCGAGTCTGGAGCTCAAAACGCGATTTTGACCGCCTTCACCGGTCTTCCGGCCCACTGTGCGGCGGCAGGCCCCCGGCGGTGTCGCGGAGGGCCTTCCGGACGACGAGGATGATGAATGGCTGCACCGATGGCCGATGAGGGTGCAGCCAGCAGCCCCTCTAGTGCGCCATTATGACTTTCCGATAATTTCGGCCCGCGGGAGCAGTGGAGGGGGAAGGGGTTTCCCGCCCTGCGCGCCTCGCCGCTTGCAGTGCCACGCCCTGCGGCGGGGTGTGGTGGGTTCGAATCCCGGCGGAGGCGTCGGCTGGTGCGTGCGCCGTGCGCTGGCATGGCGGATGCTGATGAAGACATGCGCTTGCTATTCCGCGTCGCACTGACGCACGCACACACACGCGCGCTCTCCCTGACTCACGGACACGGGCGAAGGGTCGGACCCGTCCGGGTCGGCGTCGCCGGGGCCGGGCCGCGCTCCGCAGCAGTCCATTGCGACCCCGCCTCGCCGCACCCCGCACCGCGAGGAGACGGCCTCCAGACTGATTTTAGAAAGTCACTCTGTCCCTCTCGCACCTACCCGGGATGCCCCATGAGTGCGAGAGAGGCAGAGCGACCCCTAAAAATCGCTTCCGTCCGGAGCGCTCGCGGACGCTCCTCCTCCTCGTGGTGGCGGTGGGCCTCACCTTTGCGTGCTGCCAGTGCGGCGGCGCGACCGGCGCGGGGGTGGAGTACACCATTATTTATCGTACTTGGCGCACACCACCGGCACCCCGCCGCCCTCGCCGCCGCCCTCGCCAACCGGGCCGCGAGTCGGACGAAGGTTCGTCACGAAGAGGTCACTGACGGTGGCGGGGCGTGCGCCATGGCGCGCGCCGACCCGAATGCACCCAGGCCGTGTCGTGTCTGGCTGTGCGTTCGTTCTTCCGACGCAGACTGATTCCGAGAGTCGTTTTCGTCGCTCTGCCTCTCTCGCTCCTACAGGGGATGCCCCATGAGAGAGACCGAGCGACGAAAACGACTCTCGGAATCAGTCTGCTGTCCGTATGCTAGTCTTTCCGTCGCGGAGGCGTCTGCTCATTCAGCCTTTCATTCGTACAGCCTCGTGGGCTCGTTCATTCATCCATTCACACGGCAAAATCGGTTCCTGGTCTCTCCAGCGAGCCTATGATGAAGACACCGGTGATTTCCAGGGGGGTCTCTGGGAAAACCGGGAACCGTTTTCGCCGTGCACTGATTCATTCATTCGGTCGTTAATTCGTCTAGTCGTGCATTCACAATGTTGCCGATTCGCGTTTACTCATTCATTCTTTCACATTCATTCTGTATACTGTGTATGGATTGGGCCCTGGTGCAGTGGGGGTCTGATTTTGGTCCCGCTGAAGTGCCAAAAAGGGGTGGGGGACAAACCGACCTTGCGGGCCGCGCGGTCGGTCGCGATAGCCCTCCCCCTCCCCCTGTGCCGCGAGTTTATCTTGATTTGGGGGGAACGACGAGCAAAAGTCGTGTCGGGTCGTGTCGTTGTCCGACCCATCTTTGACGCAGTACGGAGTTCTAGGATTTCATCTTTCTTTGATAAAGTCGGAAGTCGGGAACCCGGCAAGTCGGGGCTTGCTCGCCGTCCCTCTCTCTGTGTGTTGGTGGGCGGCCACGGCCGCCACGCTGTCACTCTGCTCGGAGCGTACAGCGTGGCGGAGCAGATGAAGTGTGCCGCCATGTATTATTAGCGCACTTCGGCCGCGCTGTCGTCGCTCTGTCACTGTCGCACTCGAGGGCCTAGAGGGCCGTGGCGCCGAGGCGCGAGAGAG